AGATTGCTCAGAATCTTGGCTGCTGTTAAAATACAACAGAAGACTAGTTTTTCAGTTCTCATGCTGGAGACCCACAGAAATGTGGTGGCAACAGGTGGTCCTGAGGACACAGCTTCATTTCCAAATCCAGAATGGCTTTGGATTGGGTTTCAACCCACGGGGACCTCACCTGTGCAGTGGAACTGCCTTTTGTAGGGCTTTCATGGCTGTGCCTTTTCAGAAGCAGATCACCAGGCCTTCTTCCAAGGCTTTTCTGGCTGGGTTTGAACTGCCAGTGTTTTGGTTAGTAGTCTAGCACTTGACTGTGCCAGCCAGGGACTCTGACAGCCTCATTATGATCCCACTTTTCCACAGCCTTATAATTTATGTTCTACTGAATTACCCCTCATAGAATTCCCAGCTGATCTCCAGTCCTTCCCCCAGGGACCTAGATATCCCTAATTCCTTACAGTACTATTTCTCTTCGTGGGATGTAAGTATTCCTCTCCCTCTAGTATTCAAAAGCTCTACCCTCATTTTAATTAGGAACTGAATAAATGTCTGTGTTGTGTTTTAAAGATGATATTCAAACAAGTCTTTTAATTAGCTTCTCTCAAACAGGTGGAAGTATTCATTTAAAATTAAAGTATCAGTAAAGAACTTAAGATGTAGAAATAATAATAATTTATGTAAACTATGAATTTATTGGCACAAAAGTAATGAGATACCATTTTAAGGGTCCTCCTATGAGTCGGGTTTTTTGACTCGACAACACATAACAACAACAAAACAACAACCAGTAGTTTAATCTGGAGTTTTAATTATCTGATTTCTTAACTATGCACCAGAGATTTCACCTGCTTTAAGAGTGGATTTTTATGGAACTTTAACTGAAGACAGAATGTGATGATTCTCCTAGATCTCATGAAATTATCATCTGGCTATTTCCTAGTCATTTTCCCCTCCTGACGGGCTTTCGGTCCTACCTTATAAACATAAAGGAGCACTGGTAGTGCGGTAGTTAAGGAATTTGGCTGCTATCCAAAAGGTCAATGGTTTGGACCCACCAGTTACTCTACAGAAGAAAGATCTACAGGCTTGGAAACCTTTACATGTACAACTCAGTGACATTACAGTCATCCTGTTGTACAGCCATCTCCACTATCCATTTTTTTGTCACCCTTCACAGAAATTCAATACCCTCTAAGCAATGATCTCCCTTATATTATAGCTGTTAACATAAGTTTTTCATCCTGTGTGTGACTATAGCATCTCACTATCGAAGTAAAGAGAGTCTATTCAGGGAAAGTTTGAGTTAACAAGCTACACCAGATTGCTTAGAATCTTGCTGCTGTTAAAATACAGCAGAAGACTAGTTTTTCAGTTCTCATGCTGGAGACGCTATGAGCTGGAGTTGGTGCAATGGCAGTGAATTTGGTTTGGTCTGATTTATAAACACAGTCTCTCAGAGAGGTTGTTGCCTGTCACTCTTAAGTTCATGAGATGAGCCAGTGATGCCAAGGAGGAGGCCACTTCCCATCCTGCTGGAAGCTGGGAGCAGGGCCAGGCTAGCAATCGGGGGTTCTGTCTCCTTGCCCAGTGCCATTGCCTTCATGAACTTATGATGATTCTTTCTGGGTTTTTGATTTACTGAGGCAGGCTCATTAACACTGGAGGAGAAAATTGGTCCTTGATTAGATATACTCTTAGGTAACTGGAACAGGTTATAGACAAATGCTGGGAAAGGAAGCTGAAGATAGTGATAGAGTCTTGCTCAGGACAGAGTAAACAGATTAAAGGAGGAAAATGTATATTTGAAAGAAATGAGGTAGGGAAAAGAAGACAATGTTAAGGAAAGGAAAATATAGGCCTAACTCATCAGTAGTGGGAAAGAAAAGAAGTTCTTTAACTTCCCCTCCTGTATTTACTTCTGTACATCGATTCACATCACAGCACATTTCACTTGGTCACTTCCTCTTTCTTTCTACAGATTTCTACCAAACTGACTTCCTGTTCTAAGTTATAAATGATCTGTTTTCAGTGGTTACAGTATAGTAATCATTGTGTTGTTGTTTTTCCTACCAGTCACTTGCTTTTAATGTGGTACAAGTCACAGTTTGTTTTGCAATTTTTTTTTAATTAATGGGATTTATATATTTATATTTTTTGGCTTTGGTATTATTCTTTTCCTAATGCCATTATAGCTATGCCTGTCCACTGCGTGATGTGGCTAGAAAAACTGGTTTCATCTTGTATTTTTGATATTGTACTGGTTTTTCTCATTATAAGAGTAATACATGCTCACTAGAGAAAAGTTGGAAAATACAGAGATAGAGAAGAAAAACAGAATTCTCCCAGTGCACTATCCAAGCGAACCCAGAATGACATTTTGATGATTTTCCGCCACTTTTGCTTGTGCCTCATTTTTTATTATTTGCCTCTCAGGCTTTAAACTATGGCAACTATACAATTTATGATGCCCTTTATTTATTTTAAACCTGATGTTACGATAGAAGCATTTTCCCATGTGACTGCAAACCCTTTTGTAATACCTAATTTGACAACTTTCTGAAAGAGGCTCTGTTATTCTTAATCATTTTTCTGTGGTTGACCATTTGGATTTATTTTTAATTTTTTGTGATTATAACTATAGAATTGTGCATAGAGCTTTTTGTATATTTCACATTTCTTTGCATATATTGACAGCTTCAACAGAAGTATATAAAAGAACTTATTTTACTAAATCCTAACCAACATGGAGGAGCTCTGGTAGAGTAGTGCCTAAAGCACTTGACTGCTAACCAGAAGGCTGGCGGTTCAAACCCACCAGCCACTCCTTGGAAGGAAGATGGGGCAATCTACTTCCATAGTGATACTGCCTTGGAAACCCAAGGAGGGGTCACTATGAGTCAGGGCCAACTTGACGGCACATAACAACAACAACCACCAACATGGTTTATAGTAATCTTTTTCGTATTTACTAATCTGATAGGCAAATAATACTATTTTGATTTTTAAAAAATTACTAGTAATATTGAAATTCTTTCTTATAAATTCGTTATATTTTTAATGATATTTTCATGCTGTGACCTACTGTTGTGGTTGGTTCTGTTAAACATTGCTGTTGGTATTCATAAATGTCTTTTTGACCTCTTTGTATAGTTCTATAATGGTTCTTAATTCCAGATGGATTATCTTGAATTTTTTTTCTTCCTTTAAGATTATGATTTTCACCTGTAAGATCGCTAACAGTGGAAAAATGCTGTAGAACTCAATGCATGTTGGTTTTCATTAAAGTCAAACAAAAATATGTAAGTGTTTAAAACAAGAGGCAACTTATAATGTACTTGTTATTGTTATTGACATTTCTAGGCTGTTAAAACCTTGATGTGAATTGGCACACAGTTCCTATGAGAGATAATTGCTAACATGGTTCTGATTAGAAGTATTCGTGAACTGGGATGCATGTGGCATGTTTCAGGATCTGAGTATCTGACACTGCTTTCATTGTTGTTGATAGAACCAAGGCGGGAAGCTGGCAGTGCTTGGGTCATGTCACATGTTCAGTGACCAGTATTTCGATAAAGAGGAAAACAGCAAAATCATGGTGAGCTTTTTTCTTTCATCATATTGATATGTAATATTGTAGGTATGATTTTAATGTCATTGATACATTCAGTCATTTAAAAAATACAAATAAGTTCATTTATTCATTCAAAACCAGCTACTCAAGAGTCTAGCTATTCATACTCCAGTCACTAAAGATGTAACACAGACTCAAGCATAGTCTTTGCCTTGAAAAAGTTTGAAGTACATTGAGAAAGAGTGAGAAATAGTTAAGTCCAGAAAGATGTGGCAAACATTTCTAAGCATGTCAAGTTGGTGTGAGAGGTGATCTTGCAAACATGGTGAGTAGCAAGCTCAATAAGGGCTTCACTTGGAAAGCCAGGGAGCTTTAGCTGTACACTAAAGTCACCAGGAGCCCTTCTGGATTTTCAGCAGCCATGAGTATAGCCAGGTCCCTCTGTCCACTGTATGCAAGGTAGGATGGAATAGGCAGCTTAGAGCCAGTCGGGAGGCTGGTGAAGTCAGCTAGGCAAGAAGGGGTGAGCCTCTGAGTAAAGGGAGTGAAGGTGGAACTAGAGAAGAGGAGCTAGTGTGCGTGAGTGGTAGTTAGCAGGGGTGACGTACAGGACTGGTGACTGATTTATTCAGGGAATGAGGTAAAGGAATTGCAGTTCCCTGCCCAAGTTAATACAAAGAAAACCCGACATGGGAAGGATGCTAGAGCGGGGAAGCAGAGGCCTGCACAGTGGGAGCACGGCGTCCACGGCTCTCTGTGGATGTGGTTCTGGTGAGCCAGCGGCCTAAAGAACAGGTTCCCACGCAGTTTGTTCATCACTGAAATAAACTCCTTCAGCCTTAGCAACTAACTGTCTTGGCAGATCAGTTAAGATCTTGTTTCTGGGGAATCCATGTGAAGAACATGTCTAGACACAGTCTGGAGGGAGCTGCAAAGTTTTCAGTTCAGACTGTCCTCAGCACATTATCAGGGACTGCTTCGGGACTGAACACATTCTAATAAATTCTGGTTTATGGTTACAGTGTCCTAAGATAAATTATAAATTCTTGATGATAAAAGTGACACTAGGATGAAGAAAACCTCTTAGTTTTTGTATAATTTCATCAAGAGAAGGCTGGGCTGTGCCTTTTCAAATCACTAGGTCTTACCTGTTTCCCTTCAGCATTTTTTCTTGATTGATTTAATCTCTGGTTCTGACCCTCTGCCTGCTCAAGTAACGGAGTACCTTAATCTGTACCCTTTTTTTTTTTTTTAATCCAGGATGTTGTTTTCCAGTGGCTCACAACAGCAGACATCCACCTGAACCAGATTGATGCTGAGGACCCCGAGGTAGGAAGTGGCATATGGAACATTAAAGAATGCGTAAATGAAAAATGGGTTCAGCCACTCAGCACCATTTTTAACAGTTCTGAGGGAATATGTATCTCTCTTGTCTGTAAGACAGGTGGAAAGAGTGATGCTTTTAGGGGAATGAAGGCCCCTTTTGTTAAAAAAAAAGATAAAGCAGTAAGTAAATGATACAATTAATAAGTTGGGCCGAATGTTTAAACTTGGTATCTGTAGAAAAATACTTCTTTCAGAAACATGAAAGATAGAACAAATAATTTTTAATAAAGAAACAAAGACCATTTCAATTTACGTTTTTAACTCTAATTGTGTTGTCTTGAGAAATAAAGATTCTCAGGGCATTGTGATAATAGTTATCAGACAAGGCAGAGTGGTGAAACCAGCAATGGAATGTTGTTGTTGTTGTTATGTGCCCTCGAGTCAGACCCAATTAGCGATCCCTCCTTGGGTTTCCAAGGCGGTATCACCACGGAAGGAGATTGCCCAGTCTTCCTTCCTTCTGAAGAGTGGCTGATGGGTTTGAACTGCCAGCCTTCTGGTTAGCAGTCAGGCCTTAGGCACTACGCTACCAGAGCTCCTAGCACTGGAATAGGAACCCAATAACCTGCATTCTAGGTCTGGCTCTACCCTAGCATTTTGACCTTATGCAGGTTACTTTTCACCTTTTTTTATCCTGGTTTTCTCATCTGTGAAGTGAGAATAGTAATACCTGTGTTGTCTCCTCCTTGCAGGGATTGTGGGTCCTAACTTAATAGACATGAATTTACTTACTTCATGAAAAGTTGCAAAAAATGCTCTATACCTATAAAAACTTCTTTGAACGTATATACTTACTACATATCAGGCACTGTCTAGCACATGCTTCCACAGAAATCATCCTGCTTAATCCTCACAATAGTGCTGTGAGGTGGGAGGGCTTATTGACATTTTTTAGAGGAAGAAACTGAACTTCTGCACAACTGCAATGTACTCAGGTAGCAAGCAAGCACAGGGCCAGGACCTGAACCCAAGTCTCCTGACGCTGCAATTGAGTCTTTGTTTCTTAAACTCCAAAATGTCAGGGAAAGAATTCCACACATGGGTGGCTGGAGACAGGTGAGAAGGCAGTATCGACGGCTTCCTTCTGCAGCTGAGGACACAACTGCCCAGAGGCTGATTTGAATGAGGAAGCAGGAGAGACCAGGCCTACATATATGCCCTTCTATGGAACATCAAACAAATGGATACATAAACCAAAGTTTGTTTAAATTCCTCCTGAGAAGTGATGTAAGCCCCAAGCATAAAAGACTTGGGATATAGGAAAGAAGTTGCTTCTCAGATCTCATAGGACCCAACTGAGTGGATACATCTTTGGCAGCTGCCAATCCTTGTAAATCCTAGAGTGAAGTTATCAAGGATTTCATTTTACTTGGATCCACAATCAACGGCCATGGAAACAGCAGTCAAGAATTAAGTGATATATTACATTGGGTATATCTGCTGCAAAGGATCTCTAAAGTGTTAAAAAGTGAAATGGTCACTCTGAGGACTAAGGTGCACCTGATCCAAACCATGGTATTTTCAGTAGCCTCATATGCATGTGAGAGCAGGACAGTGATTAAGGAAGATTGCAGAAGACTTTATGCATTTGTATTGGAGACAAATACTGAATGTGTCATGGATTGCTAGAAGAACGAACAAATCTGTCTTGGAGGAAGTACAGCCAGAATGTACCTTAGAAGCAGGAATGGCCAGACTTCATCTCCTATTTTGGCCATGTTGTCAGAAGAGAACAATCCTGGGGAAAGCTATCATGCAGAGGGTCAGTGAAACAGGGGAAGGCTCTCAGAGGTGGACTGACACAGTGGCTGCGACAGTTGCTCAGGCGTGGCCAGAGTTGTGAGCATGGCATGGGACTGGGGAGTGTTCTGTTGTGTTGTACATGGGGTCACTGTGAGTCATAGCTGACTCAGTGGCACCCAACAATAGCAACAGCAGTCCTTGTTAGAGTGTCATGGGTTGACACACTAACAGATGCTCTGTGTGGCTGCCTCAATGATTCCTGCATTCTAATTGAGAAAAGAAGTAAGTAAATTTCAAGGTGCCTGCTTATTACCTTAATACATGGCTGAGCCCTTATTGACACACAGGTCAGACTGATTCACGAGCGTGGGCCTTTTCTGCAACTCTGTCATTCGCTGTCCACCCACCACACATGACACTGTGCTTGTCCAGAAGGATAGCCCTAGTGGAAATCCAGGGGGAGATAATGAGGCAGTGTTTATGAGGCCTTTCTCTCAAACCAGCCTTTCTCTCAAATGCAGTTGCACAATCTTCCAGATTGGAGACCTAGTGAAAAATGTACTTTGTATCTTAAAGCTTTGGAAAGTAGAATGCTAGTAGCTCCAGTCATCTTGCAAAGTAAGAAATTCTGAAAACCTGTACTTCCTATGTAGGATTTCATATAAAATCTTGTTATATCAGAATGGTTTTCAAACCCAACTAAAGGATCAATTTTTTTTTTTTTTTTT